ATGTCTTAATTGTCATGTGCCTGTAATACCCTGCCACGACACGCCCGCTGATCTTCTGTCGTTCAGTGACAGTGGAAAACATACGGAAAACATTGTAGTTTAACAGCGCCACCGTGTGGCCACAGCGTGTGAGGTCACACATGAAGCTGAGAACAGTGACGGACGCTTTTCTCATCGCTTAGGACGCTTGTGTTTGTATTTAAATTCAGTTTAGTTTTTTTTTTTTTTTTTTTAATTGTTCATAATTTACCTTTAATTTATAATTAAAATAAATGAAATATAACAAATGAAATATAAAAGTAAATGCAAAATAAATTAAATATACCAAATAAATGAAAACTAAATTATTCATTAATACATTTACATTACATTATCCCAAGCGACAAATGAGGACAATGGAAGCAATCAAAATCAACAAAAGAGCAATGATACGCAAGTGCTAATACTTGCTTCGAATATAATTTACATTTAAATAACAAATTAAATTAAATATAATAAGTGAAATATTAAAATAAATGAAATATACCAAGTAAATAAAAAACTAATTGTTCATTCATATTTAGCTTTAAATGTAATTAATAATTACAATAAATGAGAAATAGTAGGCCTAAAGGAAATATAAAAATAAATGCAAAATAAATAAAACGTACCAAATAAATAAAAAAATTAATTGTTCATGAATGATTCATTTAAAATACAATCCAAATTTCATTAAAACTTAAAATAAACGCAACGAAATAAACAATATAAAAATAAATGCTAAATAAATGAATATACTACCAAATTTTAAAAATAAAAACGAAATAAAAACTTTTCAAATTGTTCATAAATATCTTGTTTTCGAGACAATTCAGATGTAATTTATTATTCAAATAAACGTGATGTAATAAATGAAAAATAAAATAAATTAAATATACCAAATAATAAAAACCAAATTGTTCATAAATATTTTATCTTAAATATAATTTAAATGTAATTAATAATCAAAACTAATGAAATATTAATAATGCAAAATCAATATACAAAAACAACATGAATAAAATATATAAAATAACAACCGTAGCTGGCGGTTTTACTTAATATTACTTAATTACCTAATATTTAATCTAATATATCAATATATTATGGAGACATTAAAGGCAGGGTATGTGATTTTTCAAAAACACTTTAGAAAACTGATTCGTGCCGAATAATGTACTGCATTGCTCTGATACGATACAATCCTACGTTTGACTTTTATTTTGAAAAACAATCCGCTTCCGCTAGTTCAGGAATGCGCATCCGGTTTATCTCTGACTTCACGCTCGTCTGTCTTGTTATGAGGGAGGTGAGGGACGCCCAGTGGAAACACCTTCAGCCTGCCCAGAGCTTTCCTGCGCTTAAACCCGACCTCAACTCTCAATCAAGCCGTTACCTGCACTGGAGATGGACACATCCACGGAGGCGGAGGACGGAGAGCGCAGGTAAATAAAAACACGAGCGTCTACAGCAGACCTGAGCTTGACAGCTAGACTCACAGCTCTAGTTATGCTGCTACATTAAATAGTTTTATCATCTCATACTTTTGTATGTATGTATTTAAGAACGTTTATATGTATATACACTACCCATCTTGTTTGCGAAGACCGTTATCGACTGCAGCTTTCATATCGAGCTAAGTTAGTGCATTTGGGCATCCCTACTACGGTAAAGACTTCGCTAATGAATATTAATTACGTCATGGAACGTTTGCCCTCAAAGCGTCTCATCTGATTGGCCGAACTGTATATGTTATTATGTAAGCAGGAGAATCAGCCAATGGGAGGCTTGGCGCTCACGGAAGCGTTCGGTGGCGTGATTAATATTAATGAGATCCGCCTTCACTATAGTGGGATTTAGCATCGTATGTTCTAGCAGCTTTAGACATGCAGCAAATGACAACAGTCTCGTGACACGCTCGCATTTAGCTGGTAAATAGCAGACGTAAGCGCGAAATTTCATTTTAAAGCTGTTATTTTTGTGTGTTGTTTGCTCCTGCGAGCTGACTAGCATAAAACATCATAACAGAAACTCGTTATTGTGACTCATAACTCCGTTTTATGATCTGCTGAAACATTTAAGAGAAGCACACTTTAGCGTACTAGTATAGTAGCATTAGTATTTATTAAACTTCAAATATTATTGTTTATTATACTTTAAAAATATACATTTAAGTGTAAACTTAATGTAATGTCTTGACCTCAATGGAATGGTTTAGCTCTGGATAGTAACGGATTACATGTAATCTGATTATGTAATCGCATTACAAAAAATAAGTATTACATTATGTTTTAAAATGTTCATAATCAGATTACAG